GATCTCTGTGAGTTCAAGGCCAGCCTGGTCTACATAGTGAGTTCCAGGACATTCCTGGGGCTACAGGACGACCCTGTCTCAAAAAGACCAAAGAAAAAATTTAAATTACATTTATTTACTTATTTTTAAGGTTTTGTTTGTTTTTGTTTTTGTTTTTTTTTGTCTTTTTGAGACAGGGTCTCCCTGTAGCCCCAGGAATGTCCTGACTCACTATGTAGACCAGGCTGGACTTGAACTCACAGAGATCCACCTGCCTCTGCCTCCCAAGTGCTGGGAGTGTGCCACCACGCCCAGCTTTAAGTTTTATTTTATTCATTTGTGTGTATATGTGTGTGCCCACAGAGGCCAGAGAGGGATATATGATCCCCTAAAGCTGGAATTATAAGTAGTTATGAGCTGCTTGATGTGGGTGCTGGGATCCCAACTCTGATCCTCTGATACAGCAGTAAGTACTCTTAACTGGCTAAGCTATATTTCCAGCCCCACATTTATTTATTTATTGTGTGTACATGTGTGTGAGTACATGGGTGCCACACCATGCATGTGAAGGTCAGAGGACAACTTGCTGAAGTTGGTTCTCTGCTTCCCTCCGGTGGGTCCTGAGACTTGAATTCAGGTCATCAGGCTTAGTAGCAAACACCTTTACCCGCTGAGCCATCTTGGAAGCCCTCCTCTTCAATTTTAATTCTTTCTCACAGAAGGGTAATTCAAGGCCCTTAGGTTCTGTCATCTTTCTCTGACTGAGAAAGTTGTCAGCTGTCAGACAATAGAGACTCCCATATGTTCACTCTTCCCTAGATAGGTCTTGTCATGCTGTTGCTCTAACACCCTCTGTGGCTCCCACTGGTCCATCAAAACTAAATTGGGGATAGATATTTTGGGAGAGCTGGCAAGCTGTTTTCCTTCCACAGTCTTAGTTTCCCCTGATATAAAATGGGTTGAGGGTTAGAGACATGGCTCTGCAGTTGAAAGCACTGGCTGTCCTTGGAGAGGACCCAGGTTCAGTTCCCATCATCCACATAGAGGTTAAGAACCTTCTGTTAAACTCCAGTTCCAGGGGATCTGATATCTGATGCCCTCTTCTGGCCTCTGTGGGTATTGTATAATAGGGGTACACTTACACACACATGCAGACAAAACACTCAGACATAAAATTCCTTATCTTGCCTCCCACTTGTCTTACCAGTTTTCCTGTCAGTAGAGAGAGAGTCTCTAGAAGTTTTTTCTTCATACTTGCAATAGTTTTGAAGTTTTATTTATTTGCATGATTAATTCATGTGGAATTTGTTTGGCTCTCAATTGGGGTGAGGTTAAATTTATTTTCTTCCACTTACATATCTGGCACAATGACTAAATGATTCCTGCTTTATTTGTAGACTGAAAATTCTACCTTTGTCACGTAGCCCAGGCTGGTCTTGGACTCCTGATCCACCTCCTTAATGCTGGGTTGCATGTGCCATGCCAGCTCCATTTATTTATTTATTTATTTATTTATTTATTTATTTATTTATTTATTTATTTTTATTTTATGTGTATTATGAGTGTTAATGCCTATATATATGTAAGTGCACCTATGTCATGTGCAGTGCCTTTGGAGGACAGAAGAATGCATCAGATCCCCTGGAACTAGAGTTATGGAGGATTGTTAGCTACCATGTGGGTGCTGAGATTTGATCCCAGGTCTTCTGCAAGAGTTGCCAGTGCTCTTAACCGCTGAGCCATTCTCTAGCCCCTTATTTTGTTCTTTTTGAGACAAGGTCTCCTTGTAGCCCCACCTGGCCCTATGTAGATCAGACTGGCCTCGATCTCACAGAGACCTGCCTCTGCCTCCTGAGTGCTGCAACTAAAGGCATGGGTCACCTGGAGTTACAGATGGTTGTTAGCTGTCATGTGGGTGCTGGGAACTAAACCCAGGTCTCTGCATGAGCAGCCACTGCTCTGAACTGAGTCAGCTCTCCAGCCTCCTCCCTGGGTTTTGATCTGAGCTGCAGGCTGGAAGGAGCAGTGATTCCGCTGTTGGATCAGGTTTGTGTGTGACCTTGACAATGCAAGTGACTTTGACATCTTCCTATAGAATGGTGGGGAGGACAGTGAGTCTCATGTGAAGGGCCAGATATTCAAGGGCTGTCACTGAGGATGTGGTTGACTCTCTTGAAGACACTGTGTACTTGGGAACAGAAGTGGCTTGTTGCCTAAGACCAGCCTGCTCTGTCCACTGCTTAACTGGGTGGAGTGTGACGAGTTGGTGTGAGGGCTGGCAGGGGCTTCCTGTGTTTAAACACAGGGTTTCTTTGGGAATCCTGGCCACCCGAAGGCATTCCTTGGCATCTTAGGCCCTGCCTATTTGCTGAAGCCTGTGGCCCAGGGGTCAGGCAAGGCCTCCTTATCCCAAGTCAGTGTATGGGAGGTGGCCTTTTCTCTAGCGACAAGCTGATTAGAGACCAGAGCTCCAGCTGGGTGTGCTGGACTATGAGGTGACAGCTAAAGTTACTAATAGAGTTTTTTTTTGGGGGGGGGGTGCTAGGGATAGAACTCAGCGTTTTCCACATGCTAGGTAATGTGTTCTACTTGGAACTATGCCCCCATCCCCTCACTGGGGGATTATAAGCAGGGGCTTTACCACTGAGCCTTGTTCCTAGCCCCTCACTGGGGGATTCTATGCATGGACTCTACCACTGAACCATGCCCCTAGAACCCTACTGGGGGACTCTAGGCAGATGCTCTACCTCTGAGCCACACCCCCAGCCCTTCAATGGAGCTGCAGTGACAGCCAACACATAACACAGTTGACTTGTGGTTTGGTGGTTGGTATGGGATGAATGGTGTTTACCATCCATGTTGTATGCCCCCATAGGGTATACTTACAATGGTATTTTCCCCATAGCAGCTGCATACCCCACTTCTACTTTATACTCTCTGTCCTAGTTAGCTTTCCATTGCTATGAATGGAAACCAACCAAACAAAATCAACTTGAGGAGGAAAGGGTTTATTTGACTTACCAGCACAGTTTGTCATGGAGAGAAATCAAGGAAGGAACTCAGGGCAGGACTTTGGAGGCAGGAGCTGAAGCACAAACCATAGAGGAATGCTGCTTACTGACTTGATCCTCTGACCTGAGCTCAGCCTGCTTTCTTACATTAACACAGGATCACCTGCCCAGGGATGGCACTGCCCACAGTGGGCTGGGCCCTCCTCTATCACTCAACAACCAAGAAAATACCCTACAGACCTGTTCACAAGGCCACTCTAATAGAAGCAATTCCCCGGTTGAGGTTCCCTCTTCCCAGGTGTGTCAAGTTGACAACTAAACCTATCCAACACAGTTTCATATGAATTAAAACCCCTTACAGAAATGCATGATATATATAAATCCATATGTACATACCTCTATGCTGACTGCATAATACTACCCCATCTGTGTACCCCCTAACTGACACCTGTAGGCACCCATGTTGATTGAACCCTGACAGCTCAGCACATTTCTTTTCAACTACAAGCCCCAGGGCCAGCCATTTACCACCGGCTCCTCTTACACCTGATTGTTTTTTTAATGTGTATGAGTGTTTTGCTTGTAAGTATGTGAGTGGGGACCAGAAGAGGGCCTTGGATCCCCTGGAATTGGATTTATGGACAGTTGTTGGCTGCCATGTGGGTGCTGGAAACTGAACCTAGGTCTTCTGAAAGAGCAGTCAGTGCTCTTAACAGCTGAGTCCACTCTCCAGGCCCCCTGTGCCCCATCTTTTAGGGCAGGATTGGTATTTCCTACTATTACTGTGAGACCCCATGTAACTCTGTAGCCCAGACAAATCTTGAACTAGAGATTCTCCTGCTCAGCCTCCTGAGTGCTGGGATGACAGGGTATGTCCACACAGCTGGTCTGGCCAGATTTTTCTTGTTTTGAAAGACATAGGAGGAAATGGCTTCTGAGGGTACCCTCAGGCACATGCACACACCCCCAAATACATATAAATAGAAAATAAAATCTTTAAAAAGAAAGAAAAGGGGGGCTGGGCACATGCCTTTAATCCTAGCACTAGGGAGGCAGAGGCAGGTGGATTTCTGTGAGATGGAGACCACTGTGATCTACATAGTGTGTTCCAGGTCAGCTGGGGCTACAGGTAGACCTTGTCTTGAAAACCAAAATAAACAAAACATTTAAGAAAAAAAAGAAAACTACCAGCAAACCAGGTGTGGGGCGTGTTCTCTGTTGGTAAACCCTCACCTAGAAGGTATGAAGCCCCGGATTCCACCCCCAGCTCCAAATACACTGCATGGTGATATCCCAGCACTGGGGAGGGGAAGTCAGGAGGATCAGGAGTTAAAGGTCATCCTAAACTACATACTGAGCTGGAGGGCAACCTAGGCTACATGAGACCCTGTCTTGAATTTTTAAAAATTAAAAACAATGCCAGATGTAGTGGCATACTTCTTTAATCCCAGCACTCAGGAGGCAGACGCCAGCGGATCTCTGTGAGTTCAAGGCCTGTCTGGTCTACAGAGGGAATTCCAGGGTCCAGAAAGACCCTATCTCAAAAAGGCAAAAAAAAAAAAAAAAAGAAAAGAAAAAGAAAAAGTTAAATTAAAAACAAAACAACAACAACAACAACAAAATGTCAAACTAACTCTCGGGGTTCATCCGCTTGTTTAGGTTTTCAGCCCGAATATTTTCCCTCTGGCTGTCTGCTTGTTTTCTTCTTTGCTTCATGAGCTTCGGTTTCCTCCCCTGCAGGGTGGTGCAGTGCGGGGCCGCTTTTCAACATTAGGAGGCCTTGCTGGCTGTGTCCCTGTGTGAGTGGGTGGAAGGTGGTGGAAGGTGGGCCTAGGGCCCCAAGGCGCCACCTCAGGTCCCCGGTGGGGGCTGGGTCGAGGAGGGGGCGGAGCGGGCTAAATCGGGCCTGCCAGTGAGTGTCAGGAACAGCTGATGCCCCGCCTGACCCCACCCTCCATCCCCTGCCTTTGGCCGGTCTGACCGGTTTGGGCCGCCCCGCCTGCCACTCCGTCGGGAGGAGCTGCAGCGGGTGGTTCTCTGGGTCCCTGGCTTCTTTCGGGACCTGGGTGCATCCTGACCCCAGGACTTAGAGGGCGCGGGGTCCGATACGTGCCGTCTGGGCTGCTGGCACGGGGATGGGGGACGATCGGCCCCATTACTACGGGAAGCACGGTAGGCAGGACCTCCCTTTTGCACCCCGAAGCACGGGACATTGCTAGGGACAGCAGCAGGGTCCAGAGACTGGGAGAAAGGTTGCAAAAATGAGGGAGAGGAGTTGCGCTTGAATTGCAGTCGAAGCCTTCTCCCTCCCCTAAGCTCTGCTAGCCCAGGTCACCATGACTGTCCCCAGAACTGCCGCTGCGACGCCCCTCCGCTGGCCTTCACTGAAGGCCTGGCCTGGTCACCTGTCCCCTGCACTCCCTCTTCCTTTTCTCACCTTAATCCTTGCCTTCTCAGTTCTTGTCCTCCAGCCCTCCAGGCATCCCCTTGGGTGGTAGGTGGCTGATGGATGAGTTGGTCACCCTTAGGGCTCCTGTCTCTGATCATGGGGCTTAGTTGTCTCCTGGAGGTAGGATGGAGCCACTACTCAGTCCTCCTTAAGACATAGTGGCTCTGAATCGCCCAACTCCTGCTTGTAAAATCTATGCTCTCACCCTGCTTAATTCTGTTGATTTTCAGGAACGCCTCAGAAATATGACCCTACCTTCAAAGGACCCATTTACAACAGGTAAGAATCCTAGGTTCCTACTGGTGGAAGATGGACGATGTCACAATTTGTCTCTGTTCCTCCTATCTGCTTTCTAACAAAGTGGGAGAAACAATTGCAACTTGATATGAAGGCCAGTTTCTTTAGGATATACAAAGAAGCCTTACAAGTGGGTTGTTCAGCTTTTTTTTTTTTTTGGTATTGGGGCTGGAACTGAACCTCACACACCCTAAGGATGCTTTGTGCTCTTGCCCTCACAAATAGCCCATTCTTTCTTCCTTGTTTTTTGTTTTTGTTTTTTTGAGATGAGGTCTCCTGTAGCCCCTAGCTGACCTGGAACTCACAGAGATCTACCTGCTTCTGCCTCTAAAGTGCTGGGATTAAAGAGAAGCTCCACTACACCCAGTTTTAGTTTTGTGGTTTTTTGGGTTTTTTTTGTTTTTTCTCTTTTTGAGACAGGGTCTCCCTGTAGCCCCAGCTGGTCTGGAACTTGCTTATGTAGACCAGTCTGGGCTTGAACTCACAGAGACCCAAATGCTGAGATTAAAGGCATGTGCCATCATGCCTGGCTTGTTTTAGTTTTTTGAGATAGGGTCTCACTGTGTAGACCAGGCTCACTTGGTACTCAACAATCTGCCCAGACTTTCTTTCTTTTTACTTTATTATTATTTTAAAAATTTATTTATTGACCCTTTTTGAGACAGGGTCTCCTTGTAGCTGGCCTGGAACTCACTATGTAGACCAGTCTGGCCTCGAACTCAGAGATCAGCCTGCCTCTGCCTCCCATCTTGCCTGACTTAATGTATTTATTTTTATTTTATAGGTATGAGTGTTTTGACTGCACAGTATGTAAGTGTACCTATGCATACAATCCTGAGGAGGCCAGAAGAGGTCATGGGCTCCCCTGGAACTGGAGCTATAGATAGTTTTTAGCTGCTATGTGGGTTAGAATTAAACCCAGATCCTCTGGAAGAGCAGCCAGTGTTCTTAACAGTTGAGACATCTCGCCAACCTCTTTTTTGTTGTTGTTTTTGATTTTTTTTTCCTGATCTCCCAGAAATCTACCTTCTACCTCCTGAGTACTGGGATTAAAGGTGTGCCCACCATGCCTGGCTTCCTTTATTTTTTAACATTTATTTATTTGTGTGTGTGTAGTATGTGTGCACATGTGTGGTATGCAGGTACTACTACATGTGTTTTGAGGTCAGGGGACAATTTGTGGGAGTCAGTTCTCTCCTACCATCCCTAGGTAGGATGCTCATCCTGTGCTGGGCCATCTCCCTGGCCCCTCTTTCTGTCTTTTTCTCTGTTTCACTACTAAGCCAGGGCTGTGTCACTAGGCCACATCTCCACCCTGGCTTTTTTTTTTTTTTTTTTTTTTTTTTTTTTTTTTTTTTTTGTCTTTTTGAGACAGGGTCTCTCTATAGCCCCAGGTAGCCTGGAACTCTGTAGACCAGGCTGGCCTTGAACTCACAGAGATCTGCCTGCCTCTGCCTCCTGAGTCCTAGGATTAAAGGCCTGTACAACCACGCCTGACTCCACCCTTGCTTTAAACATTTTTGGGGTTTAGAAAAAAACAAAATGGGCTGGAGAGCTGGCTTGATGGTTAAGAGCACTGGTTCTTACAGAGGCCTGAGTTCATTTCCCAGTATTCACATGGCAACTAACAACCATCTTTAACTCCAGTTCCAAGAGACCCAATGCCTTCTTGTCTCTGGTATACTTATATGCAGGCAAACATATACATAAAATAAATAAAAACTTAAAAATCAAAACCCCCCAAAAACCAGTAAAATGCACATGTCTTCTGGGCTACCTTTGAAGCTGCTCATCAAATTGGGGGTGAGGTGGGGGCTTCCTTGCCCTGACCCCGCCTGTCTGTTCTGCAGGGGTTGCACTGATGTCATTTGCTGTGTGGTGCTCTTCCTGGCCATTGTGGGCTATGTGGCGGTGGGCATCCTGGGTAAGTGCTAGAACTGGAAGTGCTGGGGCTTTTAGGGTGGGAAAGGCCAGCACAGCCTCTGAAATGGAATGGGCATGGGGGCTGAGGAGCAACAGAGCCACAGCATCCTTGGATCCCTCCACAGCCTGGACCCACGGGGACCCCCGGAAGATGATCTACCCCACTGATAGCCAGGGCGAGTTCTGCGGGCAGAAGGGAATGAAAAACTCGTGAGTCTGTCTCCCTGGGGTCTGGAAGGCTGGGGAGGAATGAGTGGAACGGCTGGTGAATAGTTTCTAGACTTTCCCCATTTTCATCAGCATCCAATCCACATGTTCAGTCTTCTGTCTATATCCCAAGAGAAATGGTTCTAGGTTACCCAACAGATACTGAAATCCACAGGTGGTCAAGACTCTAAGGGAATGATGTGATATTTGCATACAACTTCCACATCCCATGTTGGGGCTGGGACTCAGTGGGAAGTGATTGCCTAGCACACAAGAAGACCCAAGTTCCATCCCCAGCATCACTTAAACTAGATAGAGTGGCACATGCCTTTCACCCCAGCACTTGGGAAGTAGAGAAGGATCAGGAGTTCAAGGTCATTCTCTGCCACATAATCGATTTGAGGCTAGCCTGGGCTATGTGAGATCCTTTCACAAAACAGAAACAGAAAACAAAGACAAAAACATATGTACTGATCTCCTCTAGACTTTAAACTAATCTCTTTAAAAGCCCATATGGAGATCATAAAGAGGGTTACCAAGAATTTCAGTAATAACAATTTAAAAGTTTGGCAGTGGGCAGGTGCAAGCATGGCCCTCCCTGTTGCACAATAAAACCCTGAAGTTTATTTTTTTAAAAAAAGGAGAGCTGGGCGTGGTGGTGCACACCTTTAATCTCAGTACTGGGAGGCAGAGGCAGGCCGATCTCTGTGAGTTTGAGGCCAGCCTGGTCTACATAGTGAGTTCCAGGACATTCCTGGGGCTACAGGGAGACCCTGTCTCAAAAAGTCCCCCCACCCCCCCAAAAAAAGATTTATTTATTTAATTTTGTTTTATGTTTAGTGTATCAGTGTTTTGTACCATGTGTGTGCAATGCCTACAAAGGCCAGAAGAGGGTGTCATGTCCCCTGGAACTGGAATTACTGGATGCTGGGAACAAAATCCATGTCTTCTAGAGCAGTCAGTGCTCTTAACCACTGAGCCATCTCTCCAGCCCCTGGGATGACTTTTTAATATTTGATACAATATAAATGCAACAGAAACTTGTTATGTTGTGCATATTTTAGGGAATAAGAAAAACTTGTATGTCCCCATTTTTTGCTTTTTATTAGTATATATTATGACAATGGGGCTCATTGCATGTATAGAACAAATTACATAATTTACTTGTTTGCTTATTTACGTGTGTGTACTTGGGTTTAGGACAGAGGTTGACCTTAGTTGTCTTTGTTGGTCATACTGTTGTGTGTTTTTTGTTGTTTGTTGTTGTTGGTTTGGAAACAGGAGTCTCACTATGTTGCCCCTGGCTGGCCTGGAACTTACTATGTAAACTGGACCCTCAGACTCCCAGATCCTCCTGCCTCTGACTCAGGAGTGCTGAAATTAAGTGTGCTACCTAACCCTGCTTGCCTTTTTTGTTTGTTTTCAAACAGGTTCTTTATTAAATCTGGAGCTTAATAATTAGGGAGGCAAACTGACCAGGGAGTCCCAGGAGTCCCCCTGTCTCTTCCATGATACCCCCACACACCCCCCACACCTCCACCCGGGCTAGAATTATAGATGCATGCTGCCCCACCTGACTTGCACATCAAGCACTTTCTCCACAGAGGCATCTCTGGGAAGTCATTACTTGTTTATTGCCAATTTCCTTGTTGGTTTGTTTTTTTGGTCCTTTTGAGACAGGGTCTCCCTGTAGCCCCAGCTGTCCTGGAACTCACTACGTAGACCAGGCTGGCCTTGAACTCTGCCTCCCAAGTGCTGGGATTAAAGGCATGTGCCACCACGCCTAGCTATTTGTTTTTAAATGGGTTTTTAGTATCCCAGGCCTTGAACCCCTGACCTTCCTGCCTCCACTTCTTAAAGTGCTAGGATTACAGGTATACACCACAATCCTGGCTCATTAAAAAAATTTTTAATTAATTATTTTTGAGACAGGGGCTCCATAAATAGCCAAGGAACCCTCTCCTTACACACACATGGTATATATGCATACATGCAGGCAAAAATACTCATTCACATAAAAATAAATGAATAGGACAGCTGGGGCTACAGGGAGACTCTGTCTCAAAAAGACCAAAAAAAAAAAAAAAAAAGAATATTTCCATCTCAATCACTCAGTCTCCTGAGTGCTGGGATGACGGAGCCGGGTGCCTGCCAGCATTCCTACTTTGCATTTTTTGTTGTTTTGTAGGGTGCTAGGAACTTTCAGCCACACCTCAGCCCCTGGATCCTTTTTTTTTTTTTTTTTTTGGTCTTTTTGAGATTAGCCCCAGCTGTCCTGGAACTCACTATGTAGACCAGGCTGGCCTCAAGGAGATCTGCTTGCCTCTGCCTCCCAAGTGCTAGGATTAAAGGTGTGTGCCACCATGCCTGGCTGGATCCCATTTTCTTCTTTAAAGTGTTGGTCTTAAGTGTCCCACCCTTGCATATGCATGCTATGGCCATAGGGAGCAAAAGAGGGATTTGAATCCCTGGAACTGGAGTTACAGACAGTTGTGAGCCACCATGTGGGTGCTGGGAAGCAAACCTGGGTTCTCTGGGGTTCTCTGTAAGATCAGCCAGTGCTCTTAACTGCTGAGACAGCTCTAGAGCTCCTTTTTTTTTTTTTTTGAAATGGAGTCTTATGTAACCCAGGCTTGCCTCATAGTCTACATCACTGAGGGTGACCTTGAACTCTTGATCCTTCTACCTCTTTTCAGAATACTGTCCTACCACACCTGGGTTTTCTTTTTTAATTAATTTGTTTATTTTTATTTTATGTGTACGAATATTTTGCCCACATGCGTATGTAAGTATACCATGTCTGTGCAGACCCTGCAGAGGCCAGAAGAGGGTGTCAGATCTCCTGGAACTGGAGTTACACAAGTTTGTGAGCTGCCATGTGGGTGCTAGAAACCAAACCCATGTCCTCTTCAAGAGCAGCCAGTGTACTTAATCGCTGAGCCAGCTCTCCAGCCCAGTTTTTGTTTTTATTGTGTGGTGCTGGGTTTCAAATCCAGGGCCTCACACATACTAGGCAAGTAAGTGCTCTACTATTGTGCTGTCTGGCCTATGTTCTTATAGAGATTTTTACATAGGGTAGATGAGCAGTTTTGACCCATTGCATCCCCTCCTTCGACCCCAGGAACAAACCCTTCCTGTTCTATTTCAACATTGTGAAGTGTGCGAGTCCTCTGGTCCTGCTGGAATTCCAGTGCCCCACCCCTCAGGTAACTTCTCCCACGTCTCTCCTTTCCTCTCCCCACTTGCCATGATGTCTCTCTCTCCTGGTGAGAGGCAGGTGAAACCTCTGTCTTTGGTGATTCAGTGCCCTGAATCACCCCTTTCCTTCACATCCCTTTCCTTCAATGTCCCCAGATCTGTGTGGATGAATGCCCAGATCGCTACCTCACCTTTCTGAAAGCACGGAACTCTCGAGACCTTCACTACTATAAGAAGTTCTGTGTTCCCGGCTTCCAGAACAACAAAGTGAGCACTGGGTGCCCAGGCAGGGGCCAGAGGAGGGTGCCCACCTAGGGATTCCTCTCTCTCTCTCTCCTCTCTCTCTCTCTCTCTCTCTCTCTCTCTGTAGGGGGTGGCAGAGGTGCTGCGAGATGGTGACTGTCCAGCCGTCATCACTCCTAGCAAACCCTGTGAGTCTGGGGAGTGGGTCCCATGAGGGTTGGGTGCAGACTGGGAAATCTATTGGGATCAGCCTGACCAGTCCCTTTTGCTCCCTGCAGTGGCCCAGCGATGCTTTCCAGCCATCCACGCGCACAAAGGGGTCCTCATGGTGGGCAATGAGACAACCTATGAGGATGGGCTTGGCACGAAGAAAAATATCACTGAGCTGGTGGAAGGCGCCAAGTGAGGATGGTGGTCCTGCAGACTATGGTGTTGAAATTTCCCTGGGTGGGACAGGGGCTGTCCTCATGATATGACTTGAGTCTCTTCCAAACCCTAGGAAGGCCAACAGGGTTCTAGAAGCCCGACAGCTGGCCATGCGGATATTTGAAGATTACACTGTGTCTTGGTACTGGATCATCATGTAAGCCTGAAGGGGCTGTCATTGCTGTCTCCCTTATTGCCCCATCTCTGAATCCCTCCAGGGACAGTGTCACTCATGTGCTATTTTATTCCCCAGAGGTCTGGTTATCGCCATGGTGTTGAGCCTGCTGTTCATCATCCTCCTGCGATTCCTGGCTGGCATCATGGTCTGGGTGATGATTGTCATGGTGATCCTTGTACTTGGCTATGGTGGGTCTTCCTCAACTCCCCTGCCTCAGGTCTACAAAATACCCATCAAAGATGTCATCCTAAGCCTTCACATGTCAATTAAGTGTGAACATGTGCAAGTTACTGTTCATATGAGCAGGCACTTTGAAGACCTTCCAAAGGGGGTGGGCAAAATTAACTCACTGGGGCTAAGGGAGTAACTCAAGGTAGAACCCCTGCCTAGAATCCTCCAGTGAGGGGCTAGGGATATGGCTCAGTGGTAGAGTGACATCTTAGAATCCCCCAGTGAGGGACTGGAGGCATAACTCAGGGTTAGAGCCCCTGTCTAGAACACCTAGTTGGAGGGGCTAGGGCTGTAGCTCAGTGGTAGAGTCCCTGCCTAGAATCCCCCAGTGACAGGCTGGAATTCTGGCTCAGTAGTGGAGTGTTAGCCTATCATGTGCAAGGCTCTGAGTTGTTCTCTGCCACAAAAAGAGGGGAAAAAAAAGAAAGAAATCTTATCTCTTTCAAGCTTTCAAAACCAGGGCTCAAGAAGGCTGCTTGGCACAGTAACTAGGGTGGTGCACTCTGGCACCAGGGTGCCGGAAATTCAAATTCTACCTCTGCTGATTTCTAGCTCTGTGTCCTCAGGCACATGACTAAGCCTCTCTGTGCCTTGATTACTCCCTCCATTTAATGGGAATAATTAGTGTTTGCTCTTTGGCAGAAGTAATGAAAGGCATTAACAGGAGGATAATATCAAAGGTAGGGCTGTCAAGTGAGGAAACCCGAGTTAGAAACTAGTGGTCATGTTCTGGGTTTTATTTATTTTTTTCTTCTGTTTTTATATTTGTTATTTATTGTGTGGGTGTGGGTGTGTGGGTGTATTCCACACTGTATGTGTGGAGGTCAGAGAACAACTTGTCAGAGTTGATTTTCTCTACCCCGTAGGTCCCAGGGATGGAACTCAGGCCATTAAGCTTGGCAGCAAGCCTCTTTACCCTCTGAGCCATCTCACCCACTCTCTTTTTTTGTTTGTTTGTTTGTTTGTTTGTCATTGTTTTTCTGAGACAGGGTCTCCCTGTAGTCCCAGCTGGCCTGGAACTCACTATGTAGACCAGGCTGGCCTCACTCTCACAGAAATCTTCCTGCCTCTGCCTCCTGAGTGCTGAGACTAATGACATGTGCCACCATGCCTGCCTGGGTACAGGATGTCCATCAAAGACATATTGAGTTCTGTGTTCTGAACAGATACCTTGTTTGTGGTTCACAAGTGTTCTTACCAGTAAGCAAGATCTCAGATACTTTAAAAAAAACCTTTTTTATGTGTATGAGTTGTTTTGCATGTAAGCACACCACTGCGTGCAAACCCTCTGAAGCCAGAAGAGGGTGTCAGATCTCTTGGAACTATCATTATAGATGGTTGTTAGCCACCATGTGGGTGCTGGGAACTGAACCCCAGTCCTCTGCAAGAGCAGCCTATTAAGAGCCAGTGCTCTTAACCACTAAGCCATCATCTCCCTGTAGCCCCATCTGACCTGCAACTTGCTATGTAGTTCCAGGCTGGCCTTGAACTCACAGAGATCTGCCTACCTCTGCCTCCCAAGTACTGGGATTAAAGATGTGCGCCACCACTCTGGGCCTTATTTTTATTTATTTATTTATTTATTTATTTATTTATTTAGTCTTTTGAGACAGGGTCTTCTTGTAGCCCCAGCTGTCCTGGAGCTCACTATGTGGACCAGGCTGGCCTTGAACTCACAGAGGTCCGCCTGCCTCTGCCTCCCCAGTGCTGGGATTAAAGGCGTGCACCACCACACCCGGCTTATTTTTATTTTTAACATTTATTTATGTGTATGTCTGTGGATACCTGTATGTCACAACATGTATATACAGGTCAGAGGTATTTTTGGCTCTCTTCTTCCACCATGTGGGTCCCAAGGCTCAAACTCAGGTTATCACCCTTTTCAGCAAGCGCCTTTGCAGCCTCTCCCAGCCTTTATTTTATTCTGGTACTGAGGGTAGTTGTACCTGCTCTTGCAAGGCATGGGGGCAGAATTAACATCTGAGTTTATGGCTTTGTGCAGGGATATTCCACTGCTACATGGAGTATGCCCGGCTTCGTGGGGAGGCTGGATCTGACATCTCCCTGGTGGACCTCGGCTTCCAGACAGACCTCCGAGTATACCTCCACTTACGGCAGACCTGGATGGCCTTCAGTGAGTTGCAGGCCCTCTCCCCCCGCCCCCCAGTCCTGCCATCCTGGGAGACCTTGGAGAGATGGGGGTGGGGTTCCCTAGGAGCTCAGCCTTTACAGTGATCATTTAATTTTATCTTTTTTTCTTTTTTTAGTCAATTTTGGTTTTTATTGTTTTTTAATTTTAAAATTATTATGTGTGTGTGGTACATGCATGCCTCAGTTCAAGGGTGAATGTCAGAGGATGACTTTCAAGTATCAGTTCTCTCCTTCCACTATGTGGGTCCTGGAAATTGAACTCGGGTCTTCTGGCTTAATCGCAAGCCCTTTAACTACTGATCTATCCTACGGGCCTTTTTCCCCCTTCCCCAGTGATCATCTTAAGTATCCTGGAAGTGATAATTATCCTGTTACTCATCTTTCTCCGGAAGAGGATATTGATCGCCATTGCGCTCATTAAAGAAGCTAGCAGGTGGGACCCGGAGAAGCAGGGGATGTGGCTGGGGTCCTGTCCCTGGGCCATCTGGAGCCTGATATATGTATGTCTCTGCTTCTCCTCAGGGCTGTGGGCTGCGTCATGTGCTCCATGCTGTACCCGCTGGTCACCTTCTTCCTCTTGTGCCTTTGCATAGCCTACTGGGCCAGTACTGCTATGTATCCACTGTCGGCTCCCCATCTGTGGTCCCTGGGGACGACTAAACGCCAAACTTGCAACTTGGGCGCAGGACTGGAACTGGTGGGGGGGGTCCTTTCCATAACTCTCCCCCCTTCTCTTTTTCTTTCCACCATGTAGGTCCTGGGGATCAAACTCAGACCTTCAGCCTTGGTGACAAGCAGTTTTCTGTGCTGAGTTATCTCGCTAACCCTTTTTTGTTTTGTTTTTGTTTTTGTTTTGTGACAGGGTCTCACTCTGTAAGTCAGGCTGTCCTGAAACTCAGTATATAGCCCAGGCTAGCCTCCAACGCACAGTGATCTTCCTGCCTTGGCCTCTGAAGTTCTGGGTACAAGGATGAGCCACCACTCCTAGACCTTGTCACCTTTCAGGTTCTAAATCCTTAATGAACCTCTAGCTTCTTATCTACGTCTAATGAAGCTGTGTATAAGATTTTTGATGACGGCGCCTGCCCACTTGTTGGAAAGACATGCAACCCAGAGGTGGGCATTGTCCTGGCAGCCCTCACTTAAAAGACCATTCTGCAAATATTTGGCACTTGTATGCCTTGCTCTATGTGGGGGTGGGGCATAGAAGCCATTGTTGAGTTTGGTAATTGCCTAGGGCAACCCAAGAACTGATCAGATTGGGCTGTCTCCCCATAGGTTTCTCCCCTATGATGTCATTTCCTGCCCCTATATGCTTTCTTGACCCCTAATGTTGTGTGTGTGGTATATGCACATGTATGGGGGTGACCTGCTGTATTTCTCTCCACCTTTTTCCTGAAACAGGGTCTCTCACAATACCTGGAGCTAAGCTGATGGCCAGCTAGCCTCAGTGGACATCCTGTTTGCATACCCCATAGGTCTGGGGTACAGGCTGACACATGGCCATACCCAACTGTTTATGGAGATTTGAGCTCAAGTCCTCTTTTTATTTTATGTGTATGTGTGTTTTGCCAACATGTATGTAAGTGCACTATGTGCATGCAGTGCCCACAGAGACCAGAAGAGTGTGTTGTATCCCCTGGAACTGGAGTTAACAGACAGTTGTTAGCTGCCATGTGAGTGCTGGGAATTGAACATGGGTCCTCTGCAAGAGCAGCCAGTGCTCTAAACTGCTGAGCCCAGCTCTCCAGCTCCAGGTTTTTTTTGTTTTTTTTTCTTTTTGTCTTTTTGAAGCAGGGTCTCCCTGTAGCCCCAGCTGCCCTGGAACTCACTATGGAGACCAGGCTGGCCTTGAACTCACAGAGATCCGCCTGCTTCTGCCTCCTAAATGCTGGGACTACAGGCATGCGCCACCACGCCCGGCTCAGCTTCAGGTTTTTTTGTTTTTTTTTTTGTTTTTGTTTTTGCGATAGGGTCTCCCTGTAGCTCCAGTTGGCTTGGAACTGGCAATATAGAGGAGGCTGGCCTTGAACTCATAAAGGTCCACCTGCCTCTGCCTCCCAAGTGCTGACTCTGAGCTGAGTCAGCCACTCATTGTTGGACTGCCCTTGCCTGGGTAGCCATCTCCCCAGTCTCCCCCCACCCCCCACCTTTCCCTTGCCTTCTGTGATGGCTAGTCTTGCTTTAAGAACCCCTTCCTTGCATTCCACAAGCTCTGTCATGAACCTATCACCTGATTTGTGTGTGATTTCCCCAGGACTCCTGTCCTGCCCCATGGCCTAGCCTCACCCCACTCTGAACTCCTGACCTTTGGGTCGTCTTGGCTCTGCATCTCTCCCCCAGACCTTCCCCTCTGCCAATGAGAGCCGCCAGTGTCCCAACAGTCGCTGCCAGTTTGCTTTCTACGGAGGTGAGTCTGGGTACCACCGAGTGCTGCTGGGCCTACAGATCTTCAACGCTTTCATGTTCTTCTGGCTGGCCAACTTCGTGCTGGCACTGGGCCAGGTCACATTGGCTGGAGCCTTTGCCTCCTATTACTGGGCCATGCACAAGCCAGATGACATGCCTGCCTTCCCACTCTTCTCTGCTTTTGGTCGAGCGCTCAGGTGAGGAAGGGATAGGTGGGGTGGTATGAGGTGGGGGGGTCAGGATGGGCCACTGACTTCCCCTTGTGGTTGTAGGTACCACACAGGCTCCTTGGCCTTTGGCTCCCTCATCCTGGCCATCGTGCAGATCATCAGAGTGATGTTGGAGTACCTTGACCAGCGCCTCAAAGGTGAGGCCCAGCCTAGGCTGCCATTGACTGCAACTAGGGGGCAGGACTGAATGATAGCTCAGGATTAATTCTTCCTTGGGGGTAGGGGACTGAGAGAAAAGAGGTAAGCCTGTGATTGGCTTCTGTCTATGGAAAGGGTGGAGCTAAGAGGCTTAGAGAGCCAATTGCATGGAGTGTTGGGATTAAATGAGTGCACCACCACGCCCTGACATTCTTCGTTTTATTTTCTTGAAAGAGGGTCTTTTTGAGACAGGGTCTCCCTGTAGTCCCAGCTGTCCTGGAACTCATTATGTAGACCAGGCTGGCCTTGAACTCACAGAGATCTGCCTGCCTCTGCCTCCCAAGTGCTGGGATTAAAGGTGTGTGCCACCGTGCCCAGCAAAAGAGGGTCTTTTTAAAAAAAATTTTTTATTATTTTTATGTGTATGACTGTATTGCCTACATGTAGGTAAGTGCACCCATGTTGTGCAATGCCCTCAGAGGACAGAAGAGGCCATCGACTCCCCTGGAACTGAAGTTATGGACAGTTGTTAGCTGCTATGTGGGTGCTGGGATTTGAACCTGGGTTTTCTTCAAGATCAACCAGCGTTCTTAACCGCTGAGCCACCTCTCCAGCCCTGAAAGATGGTCTTATATATCCTAGACTGACCTCAAACTCACTCTGCAGCCAAGAATAACTTTGAACTCTTTGTTTATTTTTGTTCTTTTTGAGAGAGGGTCTCCCCGTAGCCCCAGCTGACCTGGAACTCACTATATAGACCAGGCTGGCCTTGAACTCACAGAGATCCACCTGCCTCTGCCTCCCAAGTGCTGGGATTAAAGGCATGTGCCACCACACCGAGCTATTTTTATGTGTCTGAGTGTACTGCCTGCTCATAAGTGTACCCCTGTTCAATGCCTGCAGACGTCAGAAGAGGGCACTGGATTCCCTGGAACTGGAGTTATGGTCAGTTGTTAGTTGCCATGTGGATGCTGGAAATGGTCCTTTGCAAGAGCAGCCAATGCTCTTAACCACTGAGCCATCTCTCCAGACATGATCTCCTGTTTTTTCTCCCTCTACCTCCTAAGAACTAGGATTACATGTGTGAGTCATCTTGTCCAATGTGCCATGCCAAGACCAAGAATAAATTTACTTTTATTTGCACAGGTGCTCGCCTGCATCTGTGTAAGTGCACCACATATTTGCAGTGCTCATGGAGGTCAGAAGAAGCCATTGGATCCCCTGGATCTGGAGTTACAGATAGTTGTTAGCTGCCATGTAGGTGCTGGGAATCAAACCTGTGCCCTCTGCAAGAGCAGCCCATGCTCTTAATTGATGAGCCAGCTCTCCAGCCCTCTATTCCTTTTTAAATTAAATTTTTTATTACACTTTACTTTTGTTCGTGTGTGGGCACGTCTCAGCATTCATGTCAGAGGACAGCTTGTTGGGGGGTCTCTCTCCTACCATGTGGGTTCCAGAGGGATTGAGCTCAGTTTGTCAAACTTGGACTCGACCCACTAAATCATCTTACCAGTTCTTTTTTTTTTTTGGTCTTTTTGAGTCAGGGTCTCCCTGTAGCCCCAGCTGCCAGCTGTCCTGGAACTCACTATATAGACCAGGCTGGCCTTGAACTCACAGAGATCCGCCTGCCTCTGCCTCCCAAGTTCTGGGACTACAGGCCTGTGCCACCACGCCCAGCTGCCAGTCCTTTTTTTTTAAAAAAAATTTTTTTTGCGGGCTGGAGAGATAGCTCAGCGGTTAAGAGCATTGACTGCTCTTGCATAGGACCCGGGTTCGATTCCCAGCACCCCCATGGCAGCTACGAACCATCAACTCCAGTTCCAGGGGAATCTGAAACCCTCTTCTGACTTCCACGGCATTGCACGACATGGGTATGCTTACATACATGCAGGCAATACATTCATACACATTAAAAAAAAAATTATAAAAATTTTTTTTTCCTTAATTTTCTGACACAGGGTCTTCGTATTTTAGCCCAGACTGGCCTTAATTTTTCAGCTACCCCCGCCTCTGCCTCCAGAGTTCTGAGATTCTAGGAACATACACCACACCCAGCCTTTATCTTTTTATTGTTGTTTTTTTGAGAGACAGCGTCTCCCTGTAGCCCCATCTGGCCTGGAACTTGCTATGTAGACCAGGCTGTCTTCAAACTCCGAGAGATCTGCCTGCCTCTGCCTCCCAAGTGCTGGGACTAAAGGTGTGTGCCACCATGTCTGGCTTGGTTTTCATTATCAGGGTCTTATGTAGCCCAAGCTAGCCTCAAACTCACCATTGTAGCCAAGGATAATGATAAATTTCTGATCTTGCCTCCTTCTTTCAAGATCTGGAATTACATTTATGTGCCATAACACCTCCCCCTCTCCTTCCCTCCCTCCCTTCTAAGAGAATCTCAATTGTCCAGGTTGGCCCCTTTAGCCCAGGCAAGTGTCAAACTTGCAGTGTTGCTGCCTCAGCCTCTGGAGCAGCCGGGATGATATGCCTGTACCACTGTGCCCAGCCCTATGACCCTGTCCTGTTGGGTTACTGGGTCTCTACGAAGTCAGGTTCAGTATCCTTCTACCTCTGCACACGTTCGTTTTTTTTCAGCTGCAGAGAACAAGTTTGCCAAGTTCCTCATGACCTGTCTTAAGTGCTGCTTCTGGTGTCTGGAGAAGTTTATCAAGTTCCTCAACAGGAATGCCTACATCATGGTGAGCCTGGTGGTGCTCCTGCTGGGGTGGGGGAACCCCCACATCCACCCAGGGGCCTCAACTCCTCTCCTTGCTTCAGATCGCCATCTATGGCACCAACTTCTGCACCTCTGCCAGGAATGCCTTCTTTCTGCTTATGAGAAACATCATCAGGTTAGGGGCGGGCACACCTCCCTCTTCTCACTCCCTCCTGTCCCAACCTCCCTCCCTTCCCAACCACCCTCCCAGCCTGTGGTCTCCCTCCCCTTCCATCACCTGAGCCCACATTCACTCCTGTTCCGTAATTCTTCCCCACAGAGTGGCTGTCCTGGACAAAGTCACCGACTTCCTTTTCCTGTTAGGAAAACTTCTGATCGTGGGTAGTGTGGGTGAGTGGTACCACTGGGCCTGTCCCTGTTGGAGCCTGTTGGGAGCAGCCTGCAAACTGCTATCAAGCCAGGTCCATCTATGATGAGTCTTCCTCTTTGGGGACTCAGCCTTCTCTCTTCCTCCTGCCTTAGGCATCTTAGCCTTCTTCTTCTTCACTCATCGGATCAGAATTGTGCAAGACACAGCCCCGCCTCTCAACTATTACTGGGTCCCCATATTGGTAAGGACCTTTGGGGACAGACTGCAATCTCTGAAGTAGGGAGGGGAATGGGATTTGTTCAACTTACTTTGCCTGGACAAATGGGAGTGATGGTTAGTTAGAGGTTGGACAGTCATTGGTTATGAGTACTTACTGCAGTACTCATGGAGGGGTCCTTCCTTTGGAGGAAGTTTATTAACATATTTTTTTTTAACCTTTGGTTATTTTGTATGCATATAGGTGTGTGTGCATGTGGCACAGCAGATTATGGAGGTCAGAGGACAATTTAATTTGCAAGAGTCTGTTCTTGCCTTCTACCATGTGTGGGATCAAACTCAGGCCATCAGGCTTGGTGTCAAGCACCTTTACTTGCTTTTCCAGAGCATTTTGGTTCTCCCAGCACCTGTGTCAGGCAGCTCATGTCTGCCTGTAACTCTAGCCCTGAGGGTCCAATGCTGTCTTCTGGCCTATGTAGGCACCCACATACACATAGACATACACATATACCCATAATTTAAATAAATAATAAGGGCTGGAGAGATGGGCTCAGTGGTTAAGAGCACTGATGGCTCTTGCAGAGGATCCAGGTTCAGTTCCTAACACCCACTTGGTGGCTACAAACTATCTGAAACTCCAGTTTCAGGGGATCTAATCACTTCTGAGGGCTTTGCTTGACTTACATACATGCAGGCAGAACACTCATATACATAAAAATAAAAGCTAAAAAATAAATATGGCCAGGTGTAGTGGTGCATGCCTTTAATCCCAGCACTCGGGAGGCAGAGGCAGGCGGATCTCTGTGAGTTCAAGGCCAGCCTGGTCTACATAGTGAGTTCCAGGACAGCTGGGGCTACAGGGAGACCCTGTCTCAAAAAGACAAAAATAAATACATAATAAATAAATAAATAAATAAATAAATAAAATATTCTAAAAAAAGAAGTTCAAGGCCAGCCTGGGCTACATCTTTTTTAAAAAAAGGAATAGGTAATATCTAGGCAGAGGGTACAGTAGGTATGGTGACCTTGAGGTCTGGCTCTACCAGAAATCGTGAGCAGCCAGAGGAGCCAGTGTGGCAGGTGTAGAGAGGAAAGAGGGTGAGAGTGATGGAGGGACAAAAGCACCAGCCCCAAACCCTGCAAGCCTCGGGGCCCAGGGACCCAGATTTGATCCCAGTTCCTGTTGTTTGCTAGTTATGAGTATTTCTGAGTTATTTAATCTTTCTAAAAGCTACTCAACTCATTCACTAAGGATTTATCAGACTCCATCATACAGCTGGGAGTAGTCTCTAGCTGCCAGGCATATGTGACAATAAATGCCATGGAACAGCCTAGCAAGGATGTGGGTGCTGGTTTTTCTTTTGGGTTTTGTTGGTGGTGGTGGTTTTTGCATGTGAAAACCAGAGGTTGATATCAGGTTATCTTCCTCTGTGGATTTCCACCCTTTTTTTTTTTTTTTTTTTTTTTTGACAGGGTTTCCAGGCTGGTCTCAAACTCTGCCTGCCTCTGCTTCCCAAGTGCTGGGAACACATACATATAAATAAAAATAAATAAGATAAAGCTGAGGCAGGATTGCCATGAGTTAGGAGCCAGCCTGGGCTATAACCACAGAGTTTCTGGGCTGATGGGAGTGAGTGGTTTCAAGCCAGGGGAGGACAAAGTTGGGCAGGGCAGTGGCTCTGAACAGGAGCTAGGCCAGATGAGCTGTCTCCTCTCCACAGACGGTGATTGTGGGCTCCTATCTGATTGCACATGGCTTCTTCAGCGTCTATGGCATGTGTGTGGACACCCTGTTCCTCTGTTTCTGTGAGTGACCCCTTCACCCCAGCCTCCCAAGGGTCCTGACTCCCTGCTCGCTACTGAGCATCATCCCATCAAGGCACAAAGTCACCCTACCCTGTGCCTAACATCCCCGGGGCCCTGAATGCCCTTTCTAGGCCTATGCATGCCTTCAGACTTCCTCACCTCACCACACTTTGAGCTAGCCGTTCCTCACCCACCTGTCCCCAGGCTGTGGCTGGAACACTGTGTCCCCTGGGTCTTTAGCTTTGACGTTTCTGGCTTTGTTGGGAGTTGGAGTGGGGTTGTGGCTGCCACTAACTCTGGTCTCTCCACTTTTTTTTTGTTTTGTTTTCTCTTCCTCTTCTCCATGCCTGCTGGCTTCCTCCCCGTTTTTTCCCCTCTGCCTCCCTTTCCCACCCCCCTCCTTTCCTGACCACCCCATTTTCTACCCCTGCTGGTTCCTGGGGGGCCCAGGTGAGGACCTTGAGAGGAATGACGGCTCTCAGGAGCGACCCTACTTCATGTCGCCTGAGCTGAGAGACATCCTATTGAAGGGGAGTGCTGAGGAGGGCAAGCGGGAGGAAGCCCAGGAGGAGGAGGAGGAGTAGAGAGTGAGGGAGACTGGCAAGCAAGCCAGGGCCTCTGCAGATCTGGTTTGTGCATGCTGTGGGGCTTCTTAGCCTGGGAGTGTGGGGATTCTGTAGTCTTGTTCCATCTCTCTCTGATCCTCTACCCAAGTCATGCTCCCAGCAGCCCCTCATTAGGGGATTCTACTCAGATGCCCTACCACTGAGCCATGCCCCCAGCCTCTCACTGGGGAATTCTAGGCAGGGGCCCTACCACTGAGCAATGGCCCAGCCTGTTTACTTTTTATTTGGGGACAGGCTGGTCTTGTACTCACTCTGTAGCAGAAGACTTTAAACTCTAGGATCCTCCCGTCTCAACCTCCTAAGTACCTTTGGTGACAGGCCTTTGCTACCACACACTGCTCACTGGTGTCTTGCTTTCTAACACTTTGAGGCTTCTCTGTGGCCTCCGATTCCCTGCTCTGTTCCCCACACTCACCTAGGCCCCTGCTCGGGGCCTCCCTCTCATGTCACCTCCTGTGGGGCTCTGTCCACAGTGGAGGATCTGGAGAGAAACGACGGCTCAGCTGAGAGGCCTTACTTCATGTCTTCCACACTCAAGAAACTCTTGAATAAAACCAACAAGAAAATAGCCGAATCCTAAAGGCAGCGATGGCCTTCCCGGCCTCTCATGAGGATGCTGACCCAGTATAGCTGGGTCAAGACCCCCAGCTCATTGGACTTGCCAGAACGCACATCACTGCCTCTCTGCCCACCCTCCCCAGGATCCCACGTCCAGGGACCTGGAGGATTTGGGGCATCTCCTTCATATGCCAAATGACACTCGGAGATTTTAGGACAGTCTCGGAAGATGGAACAAAATGTGTCCCTCCAGCTTTCACTGGCTCAGATAAATGTCTTGAAGTCTGGGAAGGAAGGTGGCTGCTTCCTGCCCCCGACCCTTGGCCAAGATAGGCTGAACGATGGGGAATCTGTTTGGATAAGGGAACTCACAGAGATCTGCCTGCCTCAGCCCCCCCCCCCCCCCCCCCCCCGTCTACTCCGGCTGGTACTTATTCCATCTCTTGTAGCTGATTTGGCCCAAGGGCCAACAAATGCATTTTTCTCTCTTTTTATTTTTTAACCTGGACACACATTAAAGGACATAACTGCTTTGATTCCATCAGCCGCCACAGCTGCATGGAGCTGTTGATGACAGTGCCTTCATTTGTCTCCCCACTTCCCCCAGCATGGGGGTGGCTGGGGTCACAGGAGTGTATTCCCACACTGGGGAGTCTTCTGGCTATTGAGATGGTATTGGAGGTGAACCTTTACAGGAGAAGACAACCCAGCAGTAGTTGGGAGTGGTGTTGAGGAATGGGCCTCTGGCCAGATCCTAGAGCTAGCTTTGGCTGCTGACTCCTTAATAGATAGGCAGGAGAACTAGGCCGGACTCTGTGCCCTTTCCTCTGCCAGTAATCAACACTGCTGCCTTTGTATGAGAGGAAAGACAGAGGCCACCCAAGGGAAGGTTACAGGAGATGAGGTGCGTAGGGTGGGGCCCGAGTCCTGGGTTTACCAGGCCTCGATTTCACCTAACACTTCAAAGAATCCTTTTGCCAAACTTGTTGAACTTGGGACTCAGTTGGTTGACTCATTACGTATCATCCACTAAGACCCACCTTCTCCCTCAATTCATCCCTTTTGCCAGTCTGTAAGATCCCAGGATCTTGGAAAGAGGATTTTCAGCTTGGATTTCCTGTGCCTGCCTCTAGCCTGCCCATCCCACCCTACCCCTCTCTTGTCTCTGCCCAGCCCCATGCTTACATCATTGCATTCCAACCCTTTAATAAAGTGCCTCTTGTATAGATAGATTGTCCTGTGTGTTTTAGGGGGGGTTGTGGGAGGCTGCTGGGAAGAATCTCTCTGACTTTCAGGGCTCTGGGTTTCTCTGAGCTATGGTGATTTTGCCAAAGGGAAGGAGTAAGAACAGGAGGCCCACTGTCTGCTGGCCTTGATCTCCACCCCCAAGCCGGTCCTACAGACTAGCTCTATGGTTTCTCCCACAGGCCCCTGGAGAACAAAAGGGTTGTATTAGGAACTGATTCCCAGTTTCAGAGGCAATCACTTGCTACCCACCTCCTTCATCAGCTCTAACACATCATCCCAGGCCTTTCTTCCAAGACCCCTCATCTGAGGCCCCAATTAGTGTAGCACAGCTTTTTACAAAAATTTCATTTATGTGCCAGGTGTGGTGGAGCATGCTTTTAAATCCCAGCACTTGGGAGATAGAAGCAGATGGATCTTTAAGATCAAGGACATCCTGTCTACACAGTGAGTTTGAGGCCTGCTGGGGCTACAGGGAGACTGTGTCAAAAACACCAAAAAAAAAAGAGATTCATTTATGGGTATGTGTTGTTGTATGCACCATGTAAGTGCAGTTACCCAGAGAGGACATTAGATCCCCTGGAGCTAGGGTCATATCTGAGCCATCTCTCCAGCTCTGGCCCGGCAGATTTGTTTGTGTTTTTCCTTGAGATAGGGTCTCTCTGTAGCCCCAGCTGTCCTGAATTCACTATGGAGACCAGGCTGGCCTTGAACTCAAAGAGATCCGCCTGCCTCTGCCTCCTGAGTGCTGGGATTAAAGGCGTGCACTATGCCTGGCTTTTTGTCTTTTTTGAGATAGGGTTTTCCTGGTCCACCAAGCCCTGGTTTTTTGGTTTTTTTTTTTTGGTCTTTTTGAGACAGGGTCTCTCTGTAACCCCAGCTGATCTGGAACTTGCTATGTAGACCAGGCTGGATTTGATCTCACAGAGATTGTATCTGTCTGTAACTCCAGTTCAAGGGGATTTGATACCCTTTTCCAACCTCTGCAGGCATTGCATGCATGGGGTGCACTTAGATATATGCAGGCAAAATACTCCATTCACATAAATTAAAAAAATCATCTTTAAAATAAAACAGTATTGCAGGGCGTGGTGACATGCCTTTAATCCCAGTACTCAGGAGGCAGAGGCAGGCAGATCTCTGAGTTCGAGGCCAGCTGGGGCTACAGGAAAACCCTGTCTCAAAAAAGACAAAAATTAATAATAAATATATTTATTAATTAATGTAAAATAACTTTTAAAAATACAGTATCTGTTTGGGAAGGAAGAAAAACAGTACCTGGCCCATGGAGCACCCTCTCCAGGTAAGTGGTGCTGGAAAGGTATGCAGGATTCCATATGGCCAGGCACGGAAAACAAAACAAAACAAGAAACAACAGTGGCTTGGTACTGTGGCTCAGTTGGCTGAGTGCTTCTCTAGCATGTAGGATGCTCTAGGTTTGATCCTGATACCACACAAGCTGGGCATGGTGGCACAAACCTTTAATTCCAGTAATCAGGAGGCAGAGGCAGGAGGATTTCTGAAGTTCCAGGCCAGCTTTGTCTACACAGCTAGTTCTAGGCCCGAAAAGGCTATATAGAGAGACTGTTTCAAAAAAGAAAACAAAATAAGCCAGACATGGTGGCGCACCTTTAATCCCAGCACTCAGGAGGCAGAGGCAGAGGCAGGCGGATCCAGATCTGTGAGTTCAAGGCCAGCCTGGTCTACATAGTGAGTTCTAGGCCAGCTGGGGCTACAGGGAGACCCTGTCTCAAAAAGATAAAACCACCACCACCAACAACAACAACAAAAAAACAAGACACAATAAAGTAAAAGGCAAAGATGGCACCATGGATAAAGCACCGGCTATGAAAGCTTGAGAACGAGAGTTCAGATTCCCAGAATCTAAGAAAAATGTGGTAGGCTGCCTAGAATCCCAAAACTGTGCAGGCTAGAACAAGGCAATGCCAGGGTCTAGCCAGAATTGGCAAGTTCTGGGTTTAATGAGACCCTATTTCAATGAATAAGGCAGAGAGTAATTGTGGTACATCACATAAACTCTAGGCCCCACACATGCCCCACGCACACAGATGCATGGCCTGCATCAAATTTCATCTGTACTATTATCTTCCCAGTAAGCTTCCTCACCACTTCAAAAAAAAAAAAAAAAAAAAAAGGACAGAGATCATGCCTCTAGTTTGTCACCCATCTGTCACTTTATCCCAGGGCAGGTCAGAGTTCCTGGTCTCCATCATCAGAGTACAGAATAGAAGAGCTAAATAAACACAGAGGAGACAGAGGGGCTGGCAAGATGGCTCAGTGGGTAAAGGTGCTTGTTGCCAGCCTGACGAGCTGAGTTCAGTCCCTGGAGCCCACATGGTAGAAGGAGAGAATGGATTCCCCAACAGTTAAGAACACTTACTGCTCTTACAAGGACTCGGGCTCACTCAGTTCCCAGTGCTCAAATCAGTTATCTCACAACCACCTATAACTCCAGTTCCATGGGATCTAGCATCTTTAAAAGACAAAAAAAAAAAAAAAAAAAAAAAAAAGTGTAACTGGGACTAGGAGATGGCTCAGCAATTAAAGAGCTTCTTGCACAAACCTCAGGATTGGAGTTCAGATTCCCAGAATCTATGTAAATACTTAACGAGCAAGGCCATCTGTGATCCATTGCTCAGCAGCCAAAGATGGAGTTCCTAGAACAAGATCATCAAGTTCTGGGTTCAAGTGAGAGACTCTAAAGAATAATGTAGGGGCAGGAGAGCTGGCTTAGTGTTTAAGATCACTGGCTGCTTTTGCAGAGGACCTGGATTCAGTTCCCAGCACCTACATGGAGGCTCATACTAACTGTATCTCCAGTTCCAGGGGATCTGATGCCCTCTCTGGCCTCTGCAGGCCCTGCACACAGGTGGTACACATACCTACAAGTAGGTAGAGCATTCATATACATAAAATAAATATTAAAACCAATGACTGGCAGGGTCTGCTGGTGCTCATCTTTAACCCCAGCACTCAAGAGGCAGAGGCAGGCAGGTCTCTGTCAGGTAATGTGTTTTGTGCTGTACCTGCATGTATGTAAGTGCACTTGTGTCATGCAATGCAAACAGAGGCCAGGAGTGAGCATATGATCCCCTGGGATTGGACTTATGGATGTTTGCCCCCAGCCCTGCTTTGTTTCTCTGAAACAGACCGTCACCCTGTAGCCTAGCTGTTCTGGATCTTGTGTTGGTCCTCTTCAGCTACTGCTGAAGGAGTATAGAAATATGACTCCACACTTTTAAAAAATTTTATTTTTTTTAATGTGTATGTGTGTATTGCCTGCATGTAGGTAAGTGCACCTGTGTCGTACAATGCCTGCGGAGGACAGAAGAGGCTGTCGGATCCCCTGGAACTGGAGTTACAGTTCTTTTTGAGACAGGGTCTCCCTGTAGCCCCAGCTGTCCTGGAACTCACTATGTAGACCAGGCTGGCCTTGAACTCACAGAGATCCGCCTGCCTCTGCCTCCCAAGTGCTGGGATTAAAGGTGTGCGTCACCACGCCCGGCTACTTTTTAATTTTTATTTTATGTGTATGTGTGTTTTGCCTGCATGTACGTAAGTGCTCTATGTACATACAATATTCACAAAGGCCAGAAGAGGGTGTCAGATCCCCTGGAAGTGGAGTTGTAGACGGTTGTTAGCTCACATGTGGGTGCTGAGTACTGAACCCCTGTCCTCCAAATTAGCTTAATAAACAATCTAGTTCTGCCAGGCATGGTGGTGCATGCCTTTAATCTCAGCACTTGGGAGGCAGAGGCAGGCTGATCTCTGTGAGTTCAAGGCCAGCCTGGTCTACAGGGAGACCCCATCACAAAAAAAAAATTATTTATTTACTTATTTATTTTATTTATTTTTTGGTCTTTTTGAGACAGGGTCTCCCTGGAGCCCCAGCTGTCCTGGAACTCACCATGCAACTGTGTCGTGCAATGCCCTTGGAGGACAGAAGAGGCTGTTGGATCCCC